GACGTCACCATATACCTGTGAAGGGCTTCAAATTTTGACCTTTACTCGTCACTCAGGGCCATTGAGCAGTGAGGGATCTTTATCGTGCCAACGCCTGCCGTGACACGGGGCCTCGGTTTTTAAGGTCTCATCCGAAGGACCCGCAACTTTCACTTCAAAGTGCCGAGCGCATGGCGAAGGAACAGTTGCTACCTATTTTTATCGACTTAGGTCTGTCGCGGCCGAGATTCGAACTCACGACCTCCCGATCACGGAGCGAGCGCTCTACCGACTGAGCTACCGTGAACGGTTGCAGGTGATGAAGGTATATTGCTGCATAAGTAAGGGAAGTTGACGATTGGAAAGTTAAAGTCATCACGTTTATCATAAAGCTTGGTTGTTAGATTACCATTAACGTCTTTTTCAAGTAAAATATCCAAATATGAAACAGATGTGTCAGACTCTGTGGTATCTTTTATCTCAAGCTCACAAGGATATATCGTATCGATATAAGAATGAAAATAGCCATTGTTTATTGACAATACGTCGTCGATATATCTAAATGTCGAGTTGAAGGCCACAGCAAGTGTTTTCTTCTTTTCACGTGCAAGATTTTGGACAAATCTGCTTCATATGAATACAAAAAAGGTCTGCTAATAACGGGGCGCAATTGGTACCCATGGGAATTCCAATAGATTGTTGGAAGACCTCTTCTCCAAAAACCACATAGATATTGTCAATTAGAAACTCAAGCATCTTTTTAATGTCAACTTCAGAGTACTTGTGTGTACAATCAGAATATTTTTAACGTAGAATTTGACCCTGGTTGAAAATTGACCGGGGTTCATTTTCCAACGTTGAATATTGAACCAGGGGAGACTTTTCAACGTTGAAAATTGAGACCAAAAGTCGTGGAATTTATACCCCAGGTTCATTTTTCAACAACATCTTGGTAATTCACTTTTTCGGCATTTATGACATAAACGCGTTAGAAATTGACCCTGTTGAATATTGGCCCCAACTACAGCGTTTTGCCCTGTGTCCTATCGCATGTCTACATGTACATGATCATCTCACATGTTAACAAAAATCAACATAATTCTGTTGTATCTTGCTTGTATAATGTCATTTAATGGCGTTAGTAAGTTAGTTTACCAACATTAAAATTAGATTCTCTAAAGAGATTGGTAACTTGCATGTCAACATAATTAGTTTGCATGTTGACATAAATAAGTCGCATGTCTACATAATTATGTTGCATGTGGACATAATTTATCTTGCATATAAGGGGCAGAAATATGCCATCATAGTTTTAATATCATAGAACGACCTCTTCGAGAAAAATGGAATTTAGGAATTTTCCTCTCACGTGACTAGTCATTATACTATTAATTTGTTAAAAAAACAGTCTGATTCTACAAACAAGCACTCTGAGGTTGATGTTAAAAAAATATGCCTTAGTTCCTATTTCTCAAGATCTATGTACGAGGGGTGATCAAAAAATTCGCGAACTATCTCTATATTTGGAAAACCACAATTCAGATTAGAGTACAATTTGGCACAAATGTTCTATAAATAACAGACGTTATGTAAAGTTTTGCTACGTTTGTGACGTCACAATGTGAAAATGACGTCACAATGTAGGTGCTTTGTGACAAAAAAAAGTTGACTCAATCGTAGTTGAGCAACGAAAGACTGTAAAGTTGAACGTATATCTTGGAAATTCTTTTGCAGTAGCATATGATAATTTGTACAAGGTTTATAAAGACAAAAGACTCCCCAGAGGTTCAGTCAATAATTGATAATTGATTATTTTAGTGAGGGAAGGGGGTGGTTAAAAATGATGTTTGTTATGTTGCCTAGTGAAAGCAAGCTGGGGAAGAGATCCGTCTTTAGTTGAGAAATTTGTTATGAAAGATCGCCAAGTAACAGTTAGAAAAATAGTTGAGTATCTTAACAATAATATAATTATTAAATCCCTAAAATACTGTTTATTTTAAACTTTAAACATATCAGATTTTATAAAAAGAAGGCGTCTATACTATATCCATATCGGATAAACGACGTTTCTAAGACAGAGAACTCGGGTTGTGATGGTCACCATTCTCATTCTGGGAAAGAACCTCTTTATCCACCCATCCTATTTTCGAGATACGGCCATTTCTGACAAACGAACATTTTTTGTTATAAAAAATAACTTGCAGGGTAAGACATATAGGACTCGGAAAAATCTTTTAGCTTCTGTGAACAGAACGCCACGGAGCATGTCACGTGACCGCCTGGATCACGTGATTTTCAACAGTCTGTTGGAATTTCAATGGGAACTAATTGTGCTCCTTTATTAACAGATCTGTTTTTATAATCTTATGAATTAGACTTTATTCAAAATACTTCTACATGAGAACAAGAAAAATCCTGCTTTGGGCTTTAAGGTATTAGCGGTGTAATACCCCATTTCCGGTAAAAGTTACGATGTAAGCCGATGTTTCCCACCTCGGCAATTCTCGGAAAACGGTACGAGTTATCTACCGTCACTAAACGAAAGTTGATAAAGAAGGAAAAAAAATGGCGCGTAAGAGAGACACCAAAGGAAAGTTTCTGGGTGTCGAGAGGAAAAAAAACTAACATCGGTCCTTCTGTGCGAAAAAAATCAAAACCAACATATGAAGTTGACCACGATTATTTATCGGGACGAAGTGATCAATACTGTCCGCTTCAAGAAAACATCAATTTGGGGGAAAATGTCGATAGGTTTGGATGGAGGTGGGGCGGCGCATAGTAGAATTTTATGTCCTATTGTCTAGTTTGAAAACGTGTACGTTCTGCAAACTAGGTCCCGTGCCATTAACTATATATAATATCATTGGTGAAATGAAGAAAGGACTAGGGGGTATTTATATGTCAAATGCACGAACCCTGATTGTGAACAAGTGAATGTTGCCCCATACGGGAAAACACATCGCCAGAGGAAAAGGGGCATGCCTTGTTTCGTTGCAAACACGAAGCTTGGTACGGGTAAGTATTTTTATATTGATTTTTTAAAATAAATCAACTAGTGATATTTAGAGTATTTGCATGATATAAATTAAAATTTTGAAATATTGTCAACTATTTTTTTTAATGATAGCCATGATTGACAGCATTGGAGGGCCAAACAGAGTGAATAATTTTTATCAACACTAAATATTAAGCCCATTGATCAAAAGAACTTAAAGTCCATGGAACGCCGAGCAGGGCAAAAAATTGAAGAGGTAGCCAAACAGTCTATGGACAGAGCTGCAAAAGAAACATATAAACAAGAAATGAGGTAAGTTAAATATATTTTACAGTCATCTATAAAATTATTTTAATGCATTTGAAAATTTATTCATGTGAGTGGTGTGCTACAGTTAGAATGTATTAATGTTTAAAGGGATGTTTCACATGAAGAAATGGCTGAAGCTACCAGGCAGATGGGAGAAGTCATCAATGACTTGGGCGTTGGGCTCATGCCTGATGCATCACCATCCTTACGGTTTGCTGATTCAGAGCTTTTATTTGTTTGATGCTAATTTATATATGTCTAGATTGTTTCAAAGAACTTGTAAACAAAATAATTTTACAAATTTGTCATTTTCGAACATTGTTTTTATCTAAGATTAGTGTTTCCCATTAATCATTGACATTTGCACATACTGCATTGTGCTTTTTATTCATGCTAAATAATGCGGTTGAAATCTGAAATGTGATAAATAATGTTGTAGTTCAAGAATTGCCTCATTTCCTCATGAGCCTGATGTATCCAACACAGATAACCAGGACCAGATTGCCAATAGTGAATTGAACAGAGAGACTAGTTCTTTATTCAAATTTCAGTCCACTGCTGCATCTCTTGCTTGGTAAATAACTAAATATAAATTTAACAGTGTAGTGCAACAATTAATTAATTGTTCTATTGTTCATCAATTTTGTCTGAGATATCCGAATTTTATAATAATTTTTCTCATACCATGATATTGTTATTGAATTTTGTGTACTTAGTTTATATATATAAGTATGAGAAAAAACATTTTCTTTCAATTCAGTATTTATAGTTTCCCATTAGCTTTATTTTGCAATGTTTGAAAAAAAATTACAGCACACCATTAAATCAGCAGAAAGTCTACAAGGCATTGAAGAAAACAGGTAGTCGACAAGTGAAGAACCAGTATGTGAAAAGAAATATTGCATCAACCTTTCCTTCTCGCACAAGAAGTGGCATGTCTCTGGCAGTTGATACAGCCTGGCATAAGCGTGGATTTGATAGTCTTACATGTAATAATAATAACGTATTTCTTAAATATAATGAAAATAAATAAAAAATGAATATTTTAAAAATTAAAAGTACTGATATTTTATCCTTTATTTTTTGGTCATTTTTAAAAGATTTATAAAACAATTAATCCTTTTCACATTGTAGCTCACACGTTTTTCTTGGGCAAATCTTGCTACGGGAAAAAGGTAGGCAAAGCAATTGTTAAACATCGAGCATGTGGAACTTGCAAATGGTGGTCCAGACATCGTCCAAACGTACCTGTTCGGCCTCACAGATGTGTAAAAAATCATCAAGGAAGTGCACATATGATGGAGAGTACAGGTGGAATTCAAGGGGTAAAAGAACTTAATGAAAGTGGTACACCAGTTGAATATTTAGAAGGTGATGGTGACAATACTTTAATTGCAAGACTTAAAGAGTGATTTGAACATTTCCATGAAAAAAAGATTTGACAGAAATCATATTGTCAAAAACATTGGTAAAAGCATGTTTTCCTTGCAAGAAAAAAAACTTAGTAGGTCAGTGATTATGCACATTCAAAAATGTTTAAAGTACATCTTTGCAAAAAATCAAGGAAACAGAGATGGTATGGAAGAGAATTTAAAAGCACTAATCCCTCATCAGTTTGGTGATCATTCTCACTGTAAACCACACTTTTGTGGGTATAAACGCAATCCTAAGGAAGTGTATCCACATCGCAGCCTTCCATACAGAACAGCTTTGAAGGATGCTGATTTGCACAAAACTTGAGAAACTGTTTGCACCAGTTATTTCAAATGTGGATCAGTACTGTGATTTAGGATCCAGTCAACAATGTGAGCATGCCAATCGAGAAGTAAGTTTACGTGCTCCAAAGTCCTTGCACTATGGAAACTCTGAGTCTTTGGATTTCCGAGTGATGGCCACATCAGCTTTTATCAACGAGGGTCGAAAGTATATTTCCCAGGTATTTTTCATTCATTTGGATTTTTTGTTTTGTTTGTTGTTAAAAGTTTTTGTGTTCTTATTTCTTTTTTTTCTTTTTGAACTTTCAGGTTGCAGTTGGTTTGAGTTGCCTGATGTTTTTTTTACATTACAGTCCATTCCAAGAAAACTCTTAGTAGTTCAGTTTATTACAGTGAGTTTGTGTTTATTTAAGAAAAAAATTTTAAAGATGAAAATTAATTTTTCTACCTTGAAAAGCACATGCATATACAATTTGCCATCTTAATAAAATCAGTTTTCCCCCCTTTTTCATATTGATAATTCATTGTTTTGTGCTAAACAGTTCAGTCGTAAACTAGTCTGTTTCATTGATTACATGAATGAATTTAATAGGCACATGCAGAAGCTGGAGTATCACCAGGAAGATACACAGAAGCCTATGCGGAGATGCAGCTGAAGCACCGACACTACATACAGGAGAAAGCAAAGCTGCCATCCCAGAAAAGGAGGAGACTTATGCTAAAGCAGGAGAGGGCAGTGACAAAAGGGGCTATGGAAGCTTTGGAGGGAGTTTCTTACCAATCTGGTCAGTTATGAGTTATAGTATTTTTATGCTATTATGAACATTGAACATGTTGAGGGCATATGTAAAGATTTAGTTTTTCAATTGTTATAAAATTAGTTTCATGTAAATTCATTTTTTTAAGTATTACTTTTTCATATGAAGAGACAGATTGTTATTTATTTACATTTTTTTTTTATATTATTGTTACACTTTATTTATTTAGGTGTTGGACATGAGGATAATGTTGATATTGAACAAATTCCTAGTCCTGTATCCAAGGGATATTTTAAACCTATTCCCAGGTCTCCTCAAGACAGAATTGCATATGTTACCTTTGATCTGGAGACAACTGATCTAAGTAAGTAACCAATACTAGAAATAAAATTATCGAATAATAAAATATTTATTGTATAAACATGTTGCTATTTGTATAATCATTGTAAATATTAATTAAATTTGAAATTTTTTTTGCAGTTCGTGGAGGAAGGATCCCACATATTACACAGATTGCGGCATCTGACATGACCCCCAAATCACAGAGGGAGTTCAACTGCTATGTGCTTCCTAAGATTCCACAGTCACAGGAAGCCCAGAGAATTAGTGGAATCACCGTGTCTTCATCCAATGTATTAATGGTAAATGGGAAGGAGGTAGAGACTGAAACGATTGACTCGGCTGTGTCGAAATTTCTAGAATGGCTAAAATTCTACAAGAAAGTCATCTTGATTGCTCACAATGGCAAAAATTTCGATTTCCCTGTCTTCATGACAGCACTTGCATCTGTGGATCGTGTATCAGAGTTATGTGATGTCGTGATAGGCTTTGTTGACAGTCTACCTCTGTTGAAAAAGATTTTTCCTGGACAAAGTTCATACAAACAAGAAAATCTTGTCAGAAACCTACTAGCTGCAACATATGATGCACACAATGCCCTTGGGGATGTAAGATCACTAGGCTGGCTCATGAAGCATGAGAAAGTAACAGATAAATATCTCAAAGACTTTTCGTTTTCACCTGAAGCAGTGAAAAATCAGTTGGCATTTAACAGAGATAAAACCAAAAACATTGGATCATTAAATCCATTAATTGCAGCTGGTGTGATGAAGATGACAACAGCAGAAAATGTTGCAGGGTCTGGTTTGTGTCTTGCAAATCTTCGAAAAATTCACATGAGGGAGGGTGAGGATGGACTTCGAAATGTTTTTATTAGCAAAAACAGTCATGGCCAAGCTCGGGTTACTTCTTGTAGGAAAACATTGGACACTGTTATTCCTAAATTATCTGAATTTTTTGACAAGTAAAATTCATGTAATTATGTGTGTCTTGTTGTGTACCAATTGTACATCAAAGCAAAAAAAAAAAAAAAAGAATGTTGTATTTCATATTTGATATATCACACATAATATTATACTGTAATCTCTAGTGAGTGAAATTAATTTTCTTTTGAGGTCAGATGATGTTTTCAATGATCAGACAAGGGACTAATATGTAATGTAAACATGCTCAAATATAGATTCCTTTTTAGTCATAGTCGACATTAGTTGAATTACAAATATTTAAGGATTTCAAAGGTCAAGGTCAAATGATTAAATTTTTTTAAATATTTATTCAGTAAAAGTGTTTTAATAAATAATTATTGTTAACATGAAGTATCATTATTCTTATATGGGATGATAAAGCGATTTTAGTGCAGAAATTGATTTTTTTCAATAGGGGGTACCCTAGATTGGCAAATGATATTTCAGAAATGTGTGGATGGAATTAATTTTTTTTTTCTTTTATTATAATCATATATACATGTACTTTGAAAGCAATAAAACTTTTTTGGTTCTGCACTCATAATTTTTTTTTTTAGGATTGAAATTAGTATTTTCCATGTCAAAATGTTGTCTTTGTGAAAAAGTATTGACTCATTTGATGTTAGCATTTCCTTACTTAATTAAAATGAGGATGCAAATGAATTTAATTTTATTTTAGAATATCATATCAGGAAAAAAAACTTATAATAAGATTGATTATTCCAACTAAATATAAAAAATACTTGTGGTAACCATCTGTTCATTAGTGGAAATGAAGCCGTAATGGGTAGTGTCATATAAAATGTTGTAAAAACTTTTTTTGTGGTTAAAATTTTACCAGACTTGCTGAAATGAATTATTAAATGTACTTCACCTTAGTTCTGATGTGTTTGGCAATATCTGAATTACTGACCATTACCCCTAATACCTTAACTCAACATTTAGATATCTCGACGTTTGTTTGTTTGTTTTTTTTTTTTTTTCAATTTTTCAATAGCTACTTTCATTCATATGTTGACTTGATATATCCCAGTGAACTCGAAATAAAAAAAAAACATCAGAGAGTCCACAACATCTGTTTCATATTTGGGTATTTAACTGACTATCGACGATACGGGTCAACTAACAACTCAAATGTATGACAAAGGAGATGACTTCAACTTTTCCTACGAACAGTAATTATGAGGTAGAGTTTAATAAAACAATACAAATTGTGAGCAGAGCAAACTTTTAAAACATCAGAGGTGGAATCAGATGCCATGGAGGAGTAAGCTTCCCCTGTTGAGAGGTCACACCCGCGGCGTGCCCCTTGTCATGATCGGGTAAATTGAGAAATACACGGTCAGTATTCAGTATGAAAAAATGGCCCATCATTTTTTATAAAAGACATCAGTCATCCATCCTAACGACAGATTGCTTTTAGGTCACCTGAGTCACTCAGGTGACCTATTGCTATCCGTTTTTGTCTGTCGTCTTGCGTTAACTGTTGAACATTTTCAACTTTTTCTCTAGAACTGCTCAACCAATTTCAACCAATTTTGGCATATAGCATCTATGGGTAAAGGGGAACAAAAATTATGAATTTCATGGTCCCTGCCCCCCTGGGGCCTGAGGGGTGGGGCTAAAACCACCAAAATTGATGCAATCTTTTAAAATCCTCTTCTTTACTCTTAGACATCAATCAGTCAAACTGTTGGCCTGATTGTATTAAGCATTGGGCCCTCTACCAAAATTGTGAAATTCATAGCCCCAGGATCAGGGGTTCTGGTGCTAGGGTGCGGCTATATAGATCATATATTGGGGTTCTTTGAAAATCTTCTTCTCTTCTCCAGGGTATAATTTAAACAAACTAAGTGCATGGTTATGATAAGCAAGGATGCCTTTTCCAAAATTGTGAATTTCATGGCCCCTGGGTCGGGGGATCTGGTGTTAGGGCGGGGCTCCATTGATTATATAGTGAAAATGCATTAAAATCTTCTTCACTGCTCCTGGGTATTATTTAAACAAACTAAGTGCATGGTTTTGATAAGCAAGGATGCCTTTTCCAAAATTTTCAATTTCATGGCCCCAGGGTCAGGGACTCTAGTGTTAAGGTGGGGCTCTATTGATTATATGGTGAAAATGCATTAATTCTTCGAAAATCTTCTTCACTGCTCCTGGGTATTATTTAAACAAACTAAGTGCATGGTTATGATGCATAAGGATGTCTTTTACAAGAATGTAAAATTCATGCCCCCTGGGTCAGGGTTCTGATGTTAGGGTGGGGCTCTATTGATCATATAGTGAAAAAGCATTAATTCTTTGAAAATATTCTTCTTTGCTCCTTGGTATTATTTAAACAACCTAAGTGCGTGGTTATGATGCACAAAGATGCGTTTTACAAAAATGTTAAATTCATGTCCCCTGGGTCAGGGGTTCTGGTGTTAGGGTGGGGCTCTATTGATTATATAGTGAAAATGCATTAATTCTTTGAAAATCTTCTTCTTTGCTCCTGGATATTATTTAAACAAACTAAGTACATGGTTATGATAAACAATGATTCCTTTTCCAAAATTGTGAATTTCATGGCCCCTGGGTCAGGAGTGTTAGGGTGGGACTTTATCAACTATATAGTGAAAGTGCATTAATTCTTCGAAAACTTTCCTCTCTACTCCGGTGTATTATTTAAACAAACTAAGTGCATGGTTATGATAAGCAATGCTGCCATTTCCAAAATTGTGAAATTCATGGACTCAAGGGTTGGAGGGGTGGGGCTCTATTGATTATATAGTAAAAAACATTATTTCTTCGAAAATATTCTTTTCTGCCCCTGGTTATAAAGCAAAGAAACTAAATGTATAGTTATGATGAACAAGAGTGCTTCTACCATTGTGATGTTCTGGTGTAAGGGTGGGTGAAAATGCATTATTTCTGTTAAATAATCCTGTCTGCTCCTTAGTGTTGAGCAGATAAACAAAGTGCATAGTTATGATGAACAATTGTGTTTCTTACATTTTTTTTAAAACTTGTGGTCCCAGGTTTTGGTGTTTCTCGGGGGGGGGGGGATCTTCAACTAAGTGCATAGTTATGATGATGAGGGTACCTCTACCAAATTTGTGAATTTCCTGACCCTGAAACATGGGTTTTAGTTTAGGGTCGGGCTGTGTTGAATCTGAAGTGAAAATGCATTATTTCTTTGCAATTTTCTCTGCTCTTTGGCATATCGAAGGCAAACAGAATAAAGGTTTTAAAAAAAACAAGGATATTTTTACCAGATTTTTGAACATCAGGACCATTTGGTCAAGTGTTCTATGTCCTGTTCACAAATGTGTATCGTTTTGAGAATTTTGAGATCATTCACTATCATTTTCATCTTTTTCATTTTTGTTGAAAATTACGTATACCGGTAGAACTTTGTAAAGAAAATTCAGTCGGTTCAACTTAAAAACTGTAGTGGAAAGAGCTGCTTCTTCCTTTTCAGTAATTTCATTTCATACAGAAAGAAAGATTACCAATTTCAGATCTATAGTATTTTAATTAGACTAAATACCATAATTATCTTTGCCACTTAATATCTCAAAAACTAGCTAAAAATGTTGGATTTTTTATTTCATAAATCAATTTAAATATAAAAACCCCACCATTTAAAAAAAATTCTAAGATAATAGCTTTAAAGGAAAAGGGTGCGCAAGTTCGGAAAAATGTCCATTCCGAAGTTGTCCGTCCCACTGTTAATTGTCATTTCCGATTTCATTTCATATGTTGACGTCAAAAATCTTGTATAATGAATTAATGAAAAATAAATGAGAAAAGGTTGAAATTATTGAATAGCGTAACAAAAAAATAGGTGTCTGGGAAGTGAATTAGTTTTAATAATAAATAAGGGCTAAAACTGTTGTGTAAAATTAAAGTAACTCAGTTTTCAAGCTGGTTATAGTATTCATTTAGTAAGAATCTGATATTTCCCTTTTGTTAAGTTTTGTCGATTGTCCCTCCATAGGTATATAATAATACATGTATTGCTGTGTATTTTTGAGATAGGTTTTTAGAAAACCTTAGACCTTTCTTCGTGAAGTGGTACAGGTATAAATTGACCATTTCGAATTGATTGATTGTATGTTGTTTTACGTCCCATTCGAGAATTTTTCACTCATATAGAGACGTCACCATATACCTGTGAAGGGATTCAAATTTTGACCTTTACTCGGCACTCAGGGCCATTGAGCAGTGAGGGATTCGAACTCACGATCCCCCGATCACGGAGCGAGCGCTCTACCGACTGAGCTACCGTGAACGGTTTTGGAATTGAACATACATCAGTATTCATGTTAATTTAAAGAATAAAATTATATTCAGTGGACAGCTAAGTAAGAAGAAAAATCAGTTTTATTTTTCTTTGTGTGTGTGTGTGTGTGTTTGTTTTTTTTTTTTGTTTTGTTTTTTTTTTGGGGGGGGGGGGGGGTATTGAACAAAAGTTCATTGACAAGCAAAAAAATACCAAAAAGGTCTAGAGAGTGACGTTCTTTAGTTTTGTTTCCTATTATATAGTATGTGATCGCATGTATTAAGGAAAACAGTCACCCTGTACCCCCTCCCCCTTTCCCTTACCTGGTTCCTACGGACATGGTGAAATATAAATATAGATGTGTTATATACATGTGTTATTTTTGAATAAATAAATCATAATTGTAAACGTCAATTTACTTTATATGTGTTTTATGCTGTTGAATTTTGACCCGGTTTTATGATCAAAATTCAACGATCCGACTCAATTTTCAACAGGCAAGCGTCTGAATTCAACGCTGATGGTCTCAATATTCAACGTTGAAATGTAAAAACCCGGTTCAGTTTTCAACCAGGGTCAAGATTATATATATACAAAATTGAATTATTTCGTAGGATTTCGACTGCATATTCCAAAATTGACCCGCTCGTCTTAATGGGACGATTGATAGTGTCATATACATATATATATATATAACCCCCCCCCCCCACCGATGGTAAAGTATACCCCTGGAAGATAA